CTCTTTCTGAGCATGTCTACAGGAGGAATAAGATGACATCTAATATTCATCCAGACTGAATCTAACACTTTCAGAAACGTAAGATGAATTGTTTGTAACTCACTTGCAATTGATACAATAAGTTCAGGCTGATCAGTGAACTGATGTGTACAGTGGTGTGAGCAGACGGATGAGCGGAATTTGTGTTTTAAAAGGAATACTTCTACTATGGAAAAAAAGTTTCTAGAAGAAAATAAATACTATTGACATTGTGCTGGGGGAAAGCTCATTAGTTCGTTGGCCATCTCTAATAAAGGAGCAGGGCTGCAAATTATACAGTCCTGTCTGAACACACGCTCTGTCAAGTGAGATCAGTCTAGCGCAGGCTTGATTCAAATTGCTGCTAAGTTCCCTGCAATTCCTTCGCCTCCTTTTTCTGCGAGGGATGTTTGGTGGAAAAATATTGTTCTAAAGGGGACGGCGATAAAGCTTTGCATTAAAAAGAATATCAACTCTCATTTCCCATCGGTAATCCCAATAAAATGAATATTGCAAGAATGGAGCTGAGTCCCCTTGAAATAACAGCCTCCTGCAGAAGGTTGGAGGAAGAGGGGGCACACAATTGCCCCTGTTTTTGTAATTAACCAAGTAAAACCCAAAAAAACAGATGTGTTTGTGTAGCTAATCATTGGCATGTTTCTTTTTTTCTGAGACCTCCGCTTCTTCATTTTTTCCTGCTTTTTAAAATAATTATTTTAATTAACCAAGGTGTCTTTTATATATTCCAATATTATTTATTACTATCATGCTGATATTTGCTAGTTCATTGCCATCATTACAGTTTATAGACTTAAGGTTAAGATAACGAGTTTTTTTTTATTGTGCAAGTGCAATAATGTGACACTGATCTTTTTTAATTGAAATGTAAAGGGCTGCACTGGAATTGTAAAGTAAAAACGACTTGGGCCTGTTATCGTTTCCTTATCAAGGACATGATAAGATTTATAACTTCTCCAACAGGTGAGGAAGCTGTGTGTTTTGCATGATGGAGTCCCTGTGATTTTTTTTCTTCCTTGCAGCCTGATCTCAATAAGTCCACTCGTCTCTGCCCTTTGTGTTGGTGGGTACTTAGGCCAAACACCTTATATTTTCACATGTCACCCCCTTGCCAGCCCTTGGGTCAACTGTCTGCTCTAGAATGGGGCAGCAGCATCTATAGCATTCTACTACCAGCAAGAAAGCCTGGCTGGGTTTTGGGCATTGTGCCGCCCTTCCCAATTATTCACTTTAACTAAAAACATACATTTTGCTCACAGGGTCAGCTCATAATTTTTTTTTGCCCGGCACCTAAGGGGTTAAACATGCTGTTTAGACAGTGGAGTAACAGATATAGGATGTGTGTGCATCCTTCCGCGGTATCCAAAAGTTCACTGAGCGTGCCATGGGCGTCACAGTAAGTTTTAGCAGCTTGGTGTGAATGTGGCTTATGGGTATCACAAGCACGCATGAGGATCACGACTACCATGCACCATGCCTGATGGCAGCTAGGGGCTTATTTTTCTATGCAGTGGCCATGTGATATAGGGGGCAATGACATGCAGCCCATATGAGAAGGCTGCGTTTGCATTCTGGTGGTCTCTCTCAAGCAGTTGTACAGTGTTGTCTTCTGCTTACTGCCTGCTGCTGAGCCTCGCAGGCGGAGGGTCCCTCCTGCCTGTCTTGTCTCATGTGTTTTGTATTACTAGGCTCTGCCTATAGGCTTGTATTGCACTGAGAGACGCCATGTTGGCTCAGCTAATAGGACACCAAGTCACAAGCAAGCTTAAAGGCATACTTTCACACGCTTGGTTTCTCACTAAAACACCCCCTAAAATTCCTCTTAGAGTAAACACAAGCCCTAAGCCTAGATAACAGAAAGGAAAGGAGGCTTTGGCTGTGTGATCAGTGGAGGATCATCTGCAAACTGCAGGATCTACAATCCCAGCAGATCACTCACACACACACACACACTTATGGTAGACGACTATAGATCAGCCCTAATGGAAGGGTTACCCCTTTTCCCCTCCTTGGCTTACATATTTTACATGTGCAGTAGGATGGTGTGGATCAAAGATCTCTACTGTGGGTTTTTATTGTTTCAGATCGTGTTTGGCTAACACACCAGCATTGAGAAGAAATAAAGCAGTCTCTGAGCAGCCAGGAGAAAAGGACACTTATATAGTGTTGCGCTCGTGAACAGCCCGAGTTAACCCCTTGCGCTTTCCCCCACTCACCCATTCCCCACCCCATGGCAAGGCAGCCCAAGTACCAGGGAGGCTCACAAAGGGTTAACAGCGCACACAACTTGCTCCTACATCACATGCCCCTCTTTTGTCCCTTTTTTTTTTTTCAGATGCTTGCTAGATCTTTTGTTCTAAACTCAGCAAGAAAAAGGAAAACTTGCTTTAAACGTGATACACTTAAACCTAAGCACGAGTCTTTAAACAATCCAAACATTCATCCAAACGCAGCTTTCTCATTTCATTTTTTTTTAAATTCTTCTGTTTAACCATCATCACCGCCATCCACATTTTAGATGAACCTATGGGTGCTACAAAATAATAACTCCCACCAGATGCTGTTCCACTCTCCACACGTAATAAGGACAGGGACTGGCTTTTTTGATTTTTAAATTCATAAATTATAATTTAATATCAATGACAATTTACAACACGTTTTACAACAAGCTAACACAAAAATCGAGATCCTGCGAATTGTCTTTTTTTTTTCTTCCTTTTTTTTGTTTTACTTTGAATACAAAAACTTCATACACTCACAAAATGACTTGCAATAGAGGAACCTAAACCTAGAGGTCAGCAATACTCTGCAAATGTAATTCTCAGCGCACTCTCGTCTCCCAGAGTGTGTGTATGGATGCATATGTGTTCGTCATGTAGGATGTGTGTTTATACATACACGAGTGCATATTAAACGCCATCATCAATCCCAATCAATCATAGAGTCCATGGTGCATTTACAATAAATTAAAGTGACCTTTCAGTATATTGAAAATATGACCCGTTTTGGTATAAAATATTAGCCCACAGTCATAGATATCTGAGAAGTGAGTCTTACAATGTACAGCTTCCATACAGGAGGCATGTAAGGTGATGGGTGCTCTATGGGGGGCAATCTGCAACTTTCCAGCTGGCAAAGTACTACATGTACCAGCATGCCCCCCTCCCCTCCCTGAACGTTATATAGCGAAGCACGTTAACCTTTAAACCATTGGCACCTGGACTCAACTAGAAAATAACCCACTCATATCCTTACCACCAAACTGGCATATCAAAAAAGGATTTGACTTCATTTACGTTTTTAAAAACATATTATTAAGAGACCCTCAGCTCGCTAAACTATCTCAACCCCCCTCGATGCATCTCTCGTCAACAATGATAAATGGCCACTACAAAATATTGTTGAACCACAAGATGAAAAAAAATGAAATAATAATCATCATAATAATAAAACTCAATATAAAGCAACTGACCTGTATATACAAATCGGTCTCAAATATTATGTGCGTGTATACCAGATATTTACAAAATAGTTCTTTTTTTTTCCACGTTCATAAAATAGATGCAGACGACCTTTTGTTTTTTTTTTTTTTTGGTTTTTTTTTCCACGTTCATAAAATAGATGCAGACGACCTTTTTTTTTTTTTTTCTTTTTGATAAGTTTAACAATATACTTCGCTAAACTAGCTCTGCAGGCACTTAAAAGTACGGGCCTTTTCTTGGAAATCCATTTTTAATTAAACAGGGGGATTAGGTTACTAAGAATGGGGTTGCAATATTGTACAGCACCTCTTAAATCATAGATAAACCATTGGTTTAAGCGTTTCCTGTCGAATTAGGCATGCAAATACACTGCTACACGTTTGGACAAACATAGTAGAGGGACACAGAGTCAGTTTAACCCCTTCTGCAGGGAGACACACTGGTGCTATGGCATAGGCTTGGTGGGTCCCTAACGCAGAACAGGTTAATCCCTCTCCCAATAAAACAGTAAGCAATTAGGTTAATTTTTTTTTGTTGTTGTTGTTGAAAGACACTTGTCACAGCCAGAGGGTTTTCAGATATCAAATAATAGTTTAATTTCTGAATACTTTCATTTTTTTTCTTGGAATATAACACACAAAGACTCGACCAAACAGTTCAGTTATTATAACTTTTACAGTATACAGAAAAAAAAAAAGTTGCACTTTAAAAAAAAAAAACAAAAAAAAATATAAACCTTCAGTTTTAACACAAAACTGTAAAATCTAGATACCGAATCAATCACATTATTTATAAGTGCCAACAGTGTTATCTGACATGCTGATTTGAATTGTATCTTTTTCCTCTTTTAAAAAAAAAATGGAAATATCAACAATTATAATACAAAGGGATTTGCAAATATACAAACAGTTATAGGAGCTTTAGAACATTTGGAGAATACTGCAAAGAACACAATTGCCC